GTCAGGTTGTTGATTCGCCTGGTTGAGACCACTTATAAAAACCCTGATCAGTTTCGCTATTCTGTAATGCACCTGCTGTTAGCAGATCAAAAACTACTCATATTCACAGACTCGCAAGACAACAGCAGTCTTTTACGATGCTTTAATCAGAGATATGCAGAGGATGAGCTGAGCAGCCCTTTAGATTTTACAACACTTAGATTATGCACTCCAACAAATACAATAATTATACATAAAGCAAAAACAACTGAGTTTTACCATTCAGTACAAGATTCTCTCAATTTAGATCTTTAGTAAAGGCTGGACAGTCAGCACAGACACTGATCAGCCTTACAGGATATCTCATTAAGTGCTACAGTGGGAGCGTATAAAGCAAAGAATGAAGACTTGGTTACTAAAGGTGATACAGAGCCTGAGGCTCGGGCTCTCACTGATATGTGACATAAAGATGAACTCATCATTTCCTTTATTCAGGTTTTTCTCCACAACCTCGATGCCAGCTTTTTCATAAACTCGCAGAGCTTCATTACCATCTAATGCAGTGACGAATTGGTTGATAGAAGTTTGCCACACTTGTACCATAGATACACAGCATCAGTTATCAGTTCTTCTTCAGGGCATCCTCCTCTTCTCAATGATGCAAACATCTTTGTCCTGGAGTGATATTAGCAGAGAAATACTGCAGAACCTTGCAGCTTCACTCTGCAGTTGGTGTCTTCATAGGGATGTATCATTGCTAAAAGAGAGCGTTCATCTATTAAGAGATATTAATATAGTAAGAGAAATGAATAGAATAACATTATATTAGTTAATATATTAGTTCAGTTATTATAGTAATCTTGTAATATTATTAATCTTAGTTACTATATTAGTTAATGTTATTTATTAGTGAATCTTTGTAACTACATTAGTTAACCTCAGGCACTACAAAGGTAAATTTTATTCATCATATTAGTTAATCTTAGTTGCTATATTAGTTAATTTTAATTATTCTATTACTTGATTTTAGTTACTATTGTGGCATCCCACTGCACTATTGGGAGAGCTCCAACAGCTCCTGAGATTTTGGTGCCTCTGAGCTTGTCCTCCTCCAAGTCCCAGCCCCCTTCCATGTCTGACTGAACTGTTGCCAAGCTGCAGAAATTTCTGGAAGAAAGACATTTCCGTTCGGCCCTCAGAGCTCAGCTTTTCTCCCTCTATCTTCAGTCTCTCAGGAGTAAACAATGCCTCCCTTCCGCTAATCTAGCAATGCCTGATGATTTCGCTGCTCCCACAGCCCTGCCACGTGATGACATTATTCCTCTGAAGCTTCTTCTGGCCTTGGGCTGCCCTCTGCTGGCCATCCTAGTCCTACACTCAGGCAGTCTGAACTTTGTGGTTGCACACTCAACCTTGCCTCCTCCTGTTCTCTCATTCTCCTCCCTCACCCTGTCATCTGCTGCACCCCCTATTCCTGTAGCTGCACCCAGTCCTGTCCTCACCACTTTTGGTTCCTGTGTTTACTTGGGTGGGTGCTTTGCCTCTTCATGGAAACTGCAGCCAAGCTCATTCTCACTCCAGCTGCCCCCTTTGCCCTCAAAAGGTTGGGGGTAGATGAATATTCAGACATCTTTCCACTCCGGTCAACATCCCCACTCTCGCTGCTGATCTCTCTCTCCACCGTGACCATTCCATGTCCTTACGGGACAGCCTTGCCTTCTTTGGGCCTCCTCTCTCTCGTGCCACCTCCTCCTCTCCACTCATTCCTAGTCTAATGCCGTTTCCTCCCTGTTGGCCAAGGAAGTTTCAGAAAGCGTCATGATTGGCTCTTTCACTTTCACTCCTTTCTCCACTTACCATATTAAAATGGGAGTGATCTGATCTCTCTGTGTTGTTTTTTGTTAGGATGCTGCTGCTGTGTTGTAAGGCATGTATTGTTTTCTTTGGAAATCTAATAATGTCAGCCTTACACCAAACGACTTTTCAAGCGATTTCTCTGTCGCAGACAAATTTGTAGTTTCAGAGCCTTGCTAGAGTTGCGTCATGCTCACGTCATCTCGATCGTTTAGTGTGAGGTGGTCAGGATGGCTGTCTTAAGTCAGCCTTGTTATGTCTTGACGCTGTGACAAAATCAACCGTGTTTAATATTATCGTAAGTTTTAGTCTTGGCTCATGCAAATAGTGATGTGCCTGGGGTGCACGTGAGAGTGAACGAGCGAGAGAACGAGCCATGCAATAGAGAGAGCAAGGGAGAAAATGCATGTGTGAGAGCCTGAAATCTCTGTAAAAAAGGCAAATCTGTTCACCTTTAAAACAACAATCATATTAACTTAATGTAAACTGGCTGTTAATATTTCAAGTTCACTGAGTGTAACAGTGATGTAATGAAAGGTGCAGAGGACTTTAAGAATGGCATTATTGAAGAATCACTGGTTTCTTATTTTATTTGTTTGTTTTTTATGATTTAGTTCATACCACCTGATCAACAATGCTGAATCACTGCATGTTTTGCTGATGTGTAAATCTCTATGGTAAATAAAGTATTGGCACATTTTACAGGTTAATTAAAAACACTGGGTGAAGATCTGCCAGAATATACAGTGGAAGAGTGGAAGCAAAGTGTTTATCTGCTTGTAAATTTCCACCAGGTGCATGATAGGAAATAATCTCAAAAGACTAGCTGCAGTCTTGCCAGTAGTGACCCTGCAAGATCCCCTGTCTTTGCAAAATTATAGCAAAGACTAAAAATTGTGACATGTGAGAGGGTGAAAGTCTTCACAAATTCTTCTCAAAGTCTTCTAGTGTATGGTTAGCATAAGAAAAGCACTACAGTAAAACGTCTGCTTGTAACAAATGCATGAACAAGTTTCTCTGTGTCGCTCTGAGAGAGAAAAGGCTGAACTTTAGTGATTTTCTGAAATGATAAAAAGCTGCTTTAGTTACCGTGTTTAGATGTAGAATATACAGAGCTCAGAGTCTAAGATCACAGCCAGGTTTCTACTTCCGGTTTGGTTTATGAAGCTAAAGAACCGAGTTTCTCATAAATCATTTTTCTCTGAGATTCTGTACCAACGGTCAGTATTTCTGTTTTATCATGATTTGATTGTAAAAAGGTTTGTGACATCCACTGAGAAATATCTGACACACAGCTGGTCAGTCTGTCTACAGAGTCTTGACCTTGAGAAGTAATAGATATATGTATAACTGAATGTTGTCAGCATAGCTATGAAAATTCATATTATATATCAACATTATGTATCAAAAGCTGCACTAAAATCTAATAAAACCAGAATAGAAGGATTTTGTGCTGATCAGCACTGGGCCTGAGGTCATTCATAACATGAACCAATGCTGTCTCTGTACTATGGTTAGAACAAAAACCTGACTAAAACATCTCATATAACTTGTTTGATATTAGATACACATTTAATTGTTTGAAAACATTTTTTTCTCTAAGACTTTACTTAAAAAATGCTGGTTTGAAATGGGTCTAAAAGTATTTAGTATGGAAGGATCCTTGCTCCTCTTTTTAGCAGAGACCTTACCAAGGCTTCTTACTGGAGAGCAATTCCAAGTCTAACTTTAGCAGACTGGGTTAGCTTACTTTAGCTTACTGAAGAGCGGTTTAAACAGTAGCTTTAGCAGACTGGGTTAGCCTACATTATCTTACTGGAGATTGGTTTGAACAGTAGTTTTAGCAGATTGGAGAGCAATCTAAATGGTAGTTCTAGTAGACTGGGTTAGCTTACCTTAGCTTATTGGAAAGCTGTTCCCATGGTAGCTTTAGCTTACTGGAGAGAGGTTCGAGTGTTAGGTCCTTTGAGTTTCAAGTACAGCTCAGCTCCACCCACTGTCCTTCAAGATGCATGTAGGACTCTCCTGGTGGTTGAATCTCAACTTGCTGTCAGAACAGAAGAGTCCTGCCCCGTCATCAATCACAGAGGACAAAGAGAAAAACCTGATAACAGTTCAGCTGGCTGTTCAGATCAGTATCACTCCTCAGTACTACAGTACTGAACACTCTTTAAAGACATAGAACAGGACACACGTTTTAGAGAAAACAGTTTATTTTTAGACTCATGTTTACTTTTTTTTCAATAATTTTACTAGATAATTTCTAATTTTTAGTGTTATATGATAAACAGCAAACAGCATTTTTCAAAAACAGATATTTTTCACTCCTATGGTCTGACACAAACCCTGTGTGCAGGTTATTCTAATTCACACAGACACACTGAGTCCTCCCTAACACTAAATCCAGCGTAGAGCGGTTCAGTGAATGTGGTGGTGAGTGTGTGTAGGGGGGTCAGTGTGTGTGTTTTAGGTGAGATGGCGTAGAAGGACAGGACGCCGGACCCCCAGTCCAGATACACTCCTACTCTGTGGACCCGGGAAGTGGATACGGAGATAGGTATTGTAGTGTTCTTCTTATTGTGTCTGAGAGAGAACTGGTAATTACAGACATAGTCACCAGAGCAGGACTGATTGTTACAGACAGAGTAACTGTAATAAGGGCAGTTCAGACTCCAGGACTGATTATTGTATCCAAACCCACAGTCCTCACTGCCTCCTTTCCTCCTGATTCCTCTGTATGATACTGATATATCAGCTCCTTTATTCCACTGAACCTCCCAGTAACAGCGTCCAGTCAGACGCTCCACACTCAGAACCTGAGGACAGCCATTAAATCTGTCTGGATGATCTGGATACGACTGATCTTCTCTCACATACTGCACCTTTCTGTTCCTCTCAGACAGAGAGAGACGACTGTTCACTGTGTTTGGATCCAGAGTGAGATCAACAGCATCTGTGCACACACACACACACACACACACACACACAGACACACACACACACACACACACACACACACACACACACACACAGATTAGAGGACATGCAAACACAGAGAGGGGAGTGTGTGTGTGTGTGTGTGTGTGTGTGTGTGTGTGTGTGTGTGTGTGCATGCCTATGTTACATTTCTTACATTTCTTCAGTCCTAGTTTCATCCTCATCTTGCCTCCATGATCCATACTGAAGAACAAAAACACACACATACATTTACACACACACACGTACATATATACACACATGTATATATGCACACATCTTGTGCCAGTTTCACACATTTGAAACATTTCACACACTATAACATTTGTCCACGTGTTATGGTCAACATGCCTAAACATGCAGATGTCTCCCTTCGCTCATGCACATACATTGGTGCTGCACAAAATGTGGAAGGATTGTACAAAAAGTAGGTGGAGGAGATGTTGGAAGTGTGGCTGATTGCATATTCCATTCTATTTACTAAAGTTTGAGCAGCTCACAGTGGCCGGTTTGAGTGCAGATTTTTCTCCAGCTTTTAAAACCAGCTTTAAATTTATGTTACAGTCTCAGCACAGAGACTGAGAGAATATTGATTAATATGATAACATTATTAAATCTCTCAGGATGATATGACTGTTTCACTCAAGCGATGTGCTAACAGTTTCTAGAGCAATGCATAAATATGACAGCTTATGACACACAGAGCACTCAGAACAACCTAACACATTTTAGTTTTTGGAAAATGGACAAAAAGTGTCTCAGCATGATTAGTAATGTTTACACATGCATCCTACACATCTTTGCTACACAAATAAACAAATAAGATTAGGCAGAAGAAACACTGAGACACTGGTAACAGCAAATATTATATATGTTAAATGACTCTGAGATGACATTTTCTTTGATTTCAAAGAAAATGTCTAATTTGTATTCAATAAGAATAATAATAATAATAATAATAATAAAAAATGCTGTTGTTATTACGTATAAATTATGTAGTTTATTTACCCCTATTGTCAATTAATCAATTTTATATTTATTAAAGTAATACTAAAGGAAAACCACACTTCAGAATAACAGTACTTCGCTGCCTCACCATAAAGACAAACACATCCACAGCTAAACATTACAGTCAGTAATGTATACAATATGTATAATTACAGTTAGTAATGTGTTTAATATGTATATTTACAGTCAGTCTGTGTGTAGAGACAGTATGTCAGTAACTCACTGTAGTTTCTCCAGTGTGTAGTATGGATCCTCCTGTAGATCAGAGAGCAGCTTCACTCCAAACTCTCCTGGGTTATTATAGGTCATATCCAGTTCTCTCAGGTGGGAGGGGTTTACTTTCAGAGCTGAAGCCAGAGAAGAACAGCCTTCATCTGTAACCATACACCCAGACAAACTGCAGAAAGAAAGGAAAAAGAGCGACAGATGGCATTTACATACAGCTATAAGCAAGCTGCAGTTCAGTACATAATAGTTGTATCTTTAAAAAAACTAATGAGACAAAATGACTGAATTGAATAAATGAATGATTAAAGAATTTTAAATAAAACTAAAGAAAGTTGCATGTTCGGGAAAAAATATTTATTTTATTGGTCCTACTCTCCATGAACTCTATGATTGTCTTAGATCATTTCCTGTATAATTATGATGTTACACATATATAAAATCCAAAGAGCTGTCAACTCAAGTGCACAGATAGCACAGATAGGAAATGGTTCTAAACAAATTAGTATTCAATTAGAATTACTGTTGAGCACAATCAGGTAGTAATAAAAAGTTTGCCATGTCCCCATGTGAGCAACATGGTAAAAGAAGCAAAGCGTAACCCAAAGATCACAATTTTAGAACTGCACAGTTTAGCTGAATCTCAGGAATTGCAAATTGTAAAATTCACAAACTACACAGGATAGTGTGTGAAGAAGAACTACGGGTGAATCATCGAGCAGCAAACTAACAAAAGCAGCAGCAAAGTGGAGCTCCAGTTCCACTCAAGATCCTTCATTGTAACAAGAATCCACCAGCTGTATGAAAGAGAGTAAGAGGATACAATCAGAGAGGAGCTTGTACAACCCTGGTGTACAACCATGTTTCCAAAAAAGTTGGGATGCTGTGCAAAATGTAAATAAATAAACAGACTACAATTATGTGAAAATCATTTACACCTTATGTGTCATTGAAAATAGTACCAAGATAACATACCAAATGATGAAACTGAAAAATAAGCCCATTTTGAATTTGACGCCAGCAACACGTTTCAACCAACTTGGGACAGAGGCATGTTTACCACTGTGCTGCATCACCTCTTCTTTTAACAGCACCCTAAGTATTTTGGAACTGAGGCGGCACGCTGTAGTTTTGAAAGTGAAATGTTTTCCTGTTCTTGTTTGAAACAGGATTTCAGCTGCTTATCAGTTCGGGGTCTCCTTTGTTGTATTTTTCATTTCATAATGCGCCAAATGTGCCTTCCACAACGTACCCTAAGACTATATACTGTTCCCTTGGAATTATAAGGTTCTATCTGATATTTTTGTCTAAAGTGAGTTATTTACATATTCAAAGTATAACCAGATATGATCTGGACATGAAACCTAATGTAAGGTGTAAGCAGGCTCTTTATTTGCTCTGTCTGTATGAGTTTTAACCTCAAGACTACTCTTTGACCTCCAACACTTCTGAAGGCCTTTTGCATTCACTCACATTTTGAAGGGCAATGCTGTATGTATGGTAGCAAAGCTTAATAGAGCCTAGCAGTAAACAAAATGGGAACCTAGCCAGCTAGTTGTGAGGGCAGAGTGCTTGCCATACAGCCAATTTCCCCTTCTCTGTGTTCCTGAAAATTTCCATCAAAGCCAAGAGTATAGCTTTAACTTGTTTGAATTCTTTGATGGAACCCAAAATGCTACAATGTTACAATATGTTACAATGCTACAGTAAAACAAGCATGAATTAAAAGCTCCAAAAGTCAGTGTAGGAAGATGCAAATTTCTTAAATTCTAAATGCCACTGCTAACTGAAATTACCATTATTGTGGCAATGGTAACTGGGGACTTACAAAGTAAAATGATATTAACAAATGAAATATTTCTACATTCAATTCTGCTATACAAAGACATGTATGACCAAAAGGTCCATGAACTCACTTGAACATCCTGTGCTTTATTTCATGTGCAGATTATGCCAGTTAAGCTAGGATGCTATTAGACAGATAACTATTATTAACTAGATAGACTAATGTTGATTAACTTTATCAATAATTAAGGGTAAACCTGGTTCACAGATATTAATGCAGCTCAGCTACCTCTTCAATATTTAAACAGTGGAAACTGAAAAACAAAATTTAATTGCAGTGAAGATGATCATTTGCTGTCCAGAAAAGCACTTTTTGTGCCTAATTTTACAGTAAAGCTGATACTCTATGTTTTGATGTATTATCATTTGATGCATTGTTACAGTAATATTACAACAATGTGCTAATGAAATAATGCTGTTTTTAATAAAATGTCTACAATTTAACTGGAATGTATTAAAATAACTGTTTTCTGAAGGAATTATTAGAACCAATTCTTTTGGAATTTCTTTTCTGTGCCATGAACCCTCAGAGCCGACAGGATCTGGGATACAGTGATGAATGTTCATTACTGAATACATGAATGGGATCCTGAAGGGTCGCCTGCCGTGTTTGAGCTGTTCTGCCTTCACCACTGTGCAATGTGGACATAAGTAGCACTCAGTAGCAGGAACTAATTGATGCTTCTAAAATGGTGTGCAATTCAGCTCAAAATATAAAGAAAATAATTTTTTTTTTATTTGATTAAGGAAGAGTTTATTCCCAACACTGCTAAATGTTTTTATTCCTCCATTACAACTTCACTTTAAATGGGTGTTAAGTAAGCAGGTCCAGTAGTTTATAGTCCGTAGATGTTTTGTACTAGTAAGTTATATTGATAGTTAAGACATATTAAGTGGAGTACTTAAAACAGACTTGCTTGACCCTTTAGAATAATGAAAAAAGGCAAAATGAATACACTTTACTGTACAGTTCCTTGAGTAAAAATTGGTGTTTAACAATAGTATAATCTAAAAAAGTAAGTAATGCGGTTGTTGTAAAAAATGTATAAAAAATGCATATTAGCTTTTTAGCAACCTGATACACTTACTTTTTTCACTTACTTTTACTTTTAAAACAACAAGAATTGCATGGGGGATATCACTCTGTTAAACAGGTTTCTAATTAGTTTTAGATACAACATTAGGAATAGTTACACATTCAATACTGAGAAGGTTAGTGTGAGAGATACAATAGAATTCTAAAAGAGGTTGAATTTTACCTGACAGTGAATTGTTTCTTTCTTTACCTTTTTAATTCAATGAAAGCTCACCTGAGTTTCTTCAGTTTGCAATGAGAACTCTTCAGTCCAGCAGAGAGCAGCACCACTCCTGAATCCTCAATGTCATTGTTACTGAGATCCAGATCTTTCAGGGAGGAGTTTACTGATTTCAGAGCTGATCCAAATTTTTCACAAGGAATTCCCTTAAACTTGCAGAAAGCCAGTCTGGAAACAGATATAACAGTATGCTTAAAGAAAGACTTTTGAATGGAATAAGATGTGCGTCATATTGTTTATATAACACACTGATAAGATATAACAGTATGCTTAAAGAAAGACTTCTGAATGGAATAAGCTAAGAAGAATGTCATATTGTTTATATTAAACACTGATAATGTGTGGTTTCGCATTTGTATAAATATATTTGTAGACACACAGGAAATCCTAAATGATGCTTAAGTTTTTGATGTTCACAGTTTATTGTGCCTTATCAACTTGTTTTCAGTTAGTAATGTATTCACCGAAAGTTCACCTAAGAATCTCCAGTTTACAGGCAGAACTCATCAGTCCAGCAGACAGCAGCTCCACTCCTGAATCCTGCAGATTGTTGTTACTGAGGTCCAGCTCTTTCAGGCAGGTGTTCATGGATTGTAGCACTGATCCTAGTTTTTCACAGGATGTTGCAGTGAGATTGCAGCCAGCTAGTCTGTAAACACAGAGTAAATACAGCATGTGGTACATTTAAATCAGGGGAACTGGCATGGAGTGAAATTACTATCCGTGTGCTACTTCGTCGTTACATCCAGAAATAAGTACACTGGATGTTCATAATCTGATAATTTATTCAGGTGTTCCAGTTGAAAACAAAAGCAAACCCAGTCATTACTTTTTCTCTCTAAGTATGAGGCCAATTTATGATACTGTTTAATTTTAAATCTTACAAAATCTTGCAAAATACTGAATGAAGCATTTCTGAATTGACTGAGACTAAAATAAATGTTATTATGCTCCACTAATATAGAGATAAGATACTTTTTGAATTGGTTTGTTTAAAATAGTGGAACTCATCGTCAGCAAAATTAAGACTGCACACAAGATATATTGGCTTTATAAGCCCTGATTCACCACATTTCACTAAAATCTGCATCTCTTTATACATAGTTTTAAAAGTCAAACAGAATTGGTTTGATGTTGTTTGTAAAACATACATTACACTTATTTGTTGTGTTTTTATATTCCATTGTTGGTCAGCATTAGAGATTCAGTAGAATTCTAAAATCATGTGAAATTAATAATGAAATTAATGTTATAACAATGCTATTTTTATATGTTTACAGTTTGTTATGGCTTTACACTATATTCTTCCCCAATTACAATATAGAGGTAGTTTACCCAAGTTTCTCCAGTATACAGTAAGAACTCTTTAGTCCAGCAGAGAGGAGCTCCACTCCTGAATCCTGCAGATCATTGTTAAAATGGGGTACATGAAATCAAATATCACAGGCATTATTAGCTTCTTTATTCAATTGATCTTTGAGATTTATGAGATGAATATTGTTTATTTACAATAATAGCTTACTTTGCTCCTTTTAATGTTGAATGTTTTTATCAAAATGTGCCCAGTTTTCCAAAATAATAAAATACCCATGATCATTGTAATTGCAGAACACCACACATCACTACTCTGGTCCCTCAATTACATTCTCTGTTTAGGAACCAGAATATACCAGGCTCTGCTGTGCAGAGGACACCCATCATTACTTTTAGATTACTAATAATATAAAGTTACTAATAACATAAAACATCATTTATAATAAGATTTTTAATCCTCAAATGTTTCAGAAAATAATGGAAGACAGGGAACATTTGATGACCTAAACAGGGTAATGTTGTTTGATGTTCCAAAATAGGGTAAAGTTAAGGAAATGGAAAAATGCTAACTAAAAATGTAAAGAAAAAGAATATTAGATACAGAGCACAAAACAGCAATATAGAGTTGTAATAAATGGAAACAAGTTATAGACAAGTTTTTTTCCTTGCAGGTCTATACTCTGATAGTCCACTTAGGTAACCAGAAAGCTTTAGATTCATGTTTCTGGTCTTTCCACCTATATTTTCTTTTAACAGATTTAAATCAAGACACAAATTACACAGACCCCTTTGGCTACATATGTTTAGTCCCAGTGCTCTAGTACAGAGAATGGAATGTATGTGAAGCATATCCAAACACAGTGAGTTATGATCTATCATGGTTTACGAGCACATGTTTACTGAATGATTAGCAGCAGAATTAATCTCAATATGGTCAACATGGTTTCAAATGTTTTCAATTTTGTTTAATAGTAAAGACATGCCTCAGAATAAGTGCTTACCAAAACATTCAAGATATATGTATAAATTAATAGAATTTAATAGCAGATAAATGATGCCTGCTCAGAAGTGTGTGGGCATGTCAGATCACACAGTGACTTACAGTGTTGTCTCCCTTGTAATGTAAACCACCCAGCACCAGTGGCAGTGGTGACTGACACCGCCAAAATGCAGATCAAGCTGTCTAATGGTAATTTTAGAGTTCTGGTTACATTTTACAACGAATGTTCAAGAACACAGGCTTTAATCTTATGACAGGTATATCATGGACATATCATATCTGATAACTTACAGCACTAAAGTTATATCCATAACCTATAGCCAGCTAGCTAACTGCTAGACTGTGCTTCTGAAACTGATCTTCAAGTAATCTGGCTCAAACCCTGTGTGCCAGTAATTTCTCTTTAATTGCAGTACTTATCAGAAACAGAAATAATATCAAATAATGTGAATCTCTTCAATCTGCAGTATGTAAAATCTGAGTCACAGGTTCTGAAGCAAAGTGCACAGGTTACCAAGTTAACTCTTCCTAATATCAGATCTCTCACAAACAAGTCCTATTAGACTAATGATTTTATTACAGTCCAAGGGCTTGATATTGTGCTTTTAAAAGAAACATGGTTAAATTAATGTACAGCTGAAACAATATTAATTGAGTCAGCTCCAACAATTAATATATACATTTATATAGCTTTTAGCCAGTACGCTGCTTTTAATTGGAACCAATTGACAGAAGACATTAGAAGACCCCCCAACTCTAGCCACTGTTAAATCAGGGCTGAAAATACTCCTATTCGAGCAGTGTTCAGCTCAATTTAAAACAAAGCTTTCAGCTCAGTTTCCTCTCACTTCTCTTCTGTAATAGCACATTCTGTAATCCTGTTTTAATAAATTTGACTTTAATATAATGTTTGCTTCTTTTAAATATTTTGTTTTAATCATGTTTTTAATGTCTACTCTCTTACATCTTTTTAAATTTTTATTTGAATTGCATTTGCATTTTCTCATTCGTAAAGCACTGTAAATGACCACAGTGTATGAAAGGTGCTATCTAATAAAATAATAATACACTTTCCTTGCCTTGTCTTGCCCAAAGTGGAGTGCTAGCTATCTCACTCTTATAAACAAAGTTAATCACAGGTCGCTAACAAACAGGAACCAGCTTCTACCTATGGTACAACAGTGTAATAAATTATCATAACAAGCACCATTAGAAAATAATTAGAAAAGGTTAAATAAATTAGTTGCTCTGAGTTTTGGCTGGGACTTTACAGTGTCTGTATATGATAGAGGCCAGGACTGGCATGGAGGAACAGAGCGAATGATTCCATCGATAAGGACAAAGTGCTTCGCAATCAGACTTTTGTTAGGTTAAAATTGTGGAGCTAATGTTCGGCAATGTGAAGACTATAGATATGAGATACAGGCTTAATAAGCCCCAATTCACCACATTTGCGCGTATCTCTTTAGAAAGATTTTTCTTAAATTAAATACATAATATAGGAAAAAAATATAAAAAACTATTTTATTCAAATTAAAAAAGTGTATCTCAACATGCCGGCTTGTTTTGATCACAGTCGTTTAGTCACAAAGGCACTGAACGCTCAGGAGAGGGAGTGGAATGTGGGTAGCTGACGTATTTCGCTGCCAGTTCATGATAAGCATCACAAAACTGTACACAACAGAAGAAAAAATGAGCACACACCCACTTCAACTCAGGAAGGGTTTGTTAATTAGCAGATTAGTTAGGTCAAGTCAGTGATGGGAGCAGGGCCAACACTAAAATGTGCAGGACAGTGAACCATGCACAGAACCAGGGTTAGCAACCACTGTTTTAGACCATCTGTATCAAATATAATGTGACATGATCAGATTATATTCTTATATACCCATCAGATTAGTTTTCTTACCAACAGTTAAAGAGAATTATTCTACACAGTAACTCAAAGACCATATGCACCCAAACAATGGAGCAAGTGGTGCACCTTCACCCCTGTTCTTATTGGGTTAGAGAGAGTTACAGGTGCTCCACTTTCAATTCAAACAAAAAACAGAATTTTGGTATAAATAATTGCACAAATTTGCAAATAAAACCCAACAGGAACGAAGGTAGCAAATTAGTACATTTATAATAAATAAATTAATGAATAAATAAACCAACTGCCAAGTAACAAAACTTTGTTTTTACTAAGAGACGCCCAGGCTATTATGCATACGGGGTTTCACCCTCACTAAGACATCATGATAACACATCAACATTGGGATCACCCTTAACATTAAGCAGATCTGCTTTCATTAAATAAGAAGTAAATTACCATTCTTTATCATTCAACACTGATTGTACACTCACTGGCCACTTTACTAGAAACACCTTCACAGTACTTCCACTTATTGGCCACTTTATGAGAAGCACCTACCTTCTACTTCCACTAACTGGCCACTTTATTAGAAACACCCACCTCATAGTTCCACTCATTAGTCACTTTATTAGAAACACCTATCCTTCTATTAACTAGCCACTTTATAAGAAACACCTACCTCATACTTCCACTTTATGAGCTCTACCTCTCTTATGAACCACTATATAGGTGTATAGATTATCAACCCCCTTTACCCAAGTCATCAATGGTTTGACCACATTTGCAGACCACAGAACTACTGTTGTCCAGATATTATATGGGTGGCTGTTCTTTCTCAGCACAGCAGTGACATTGACACAGTAGTGTACGAGTGCATCAGACACACTGGTACTGCTGAGGTTTTACATATGTCGGTGTCTGCTAGGTTGAGAGCAGACCACCCACCTAACCTGGACAACACCAGCTCTGATGAAGGGCTAAAGGTTAGCTAACACAAACTGTGCATCAACAGATCAGCAGGGCGATATTGATAAAATTCAATATCAGGATTTTTTTTTTTTAAATACATCATGGTACCAGATTAAAAATAATTAATTTAATAAATTAGCATTAACAAAGCAAATAATTTCATGCTTTCTAAATTCTGTAAGAAAAAGAATGTCATACAAATTAGCATATCCTGTTTTGATTGGACTGTTTTGTTTTCTTCTCTTAAAATGGCACCAAAGTAATCCAGACAGAAAGTACATTACCAGAAAGTATATTTACTATTTAACATTTATGGATTTTAAGCTGTTCTTTCAAAACAATCTGAAGCTCACAGTAAATGATACGCATTTAGTTAACTGTCAGATGTCATGTATAAAGTACACAAAATAAAATTAAAAAGCTCAAAACAAACTTAGTGGCAAAAGGAACAATGCTATTTTATTCACATTACATCATGAATATATTCACAGAACTCTTGCTAAAACAAAAAAGCAATATGTCAATATGATGTTGTACCTACATAATTTAAATATAGCCCAGCCCTAACCAACAGATGAACTACAATCTCTCTACGCCAGCGGGGTGGAGCTACAAGGGAAGGGTTTCTAATACATTGGCCAAGCAGTGTACTGGCAGCACATCATAATGACCAAAACGTATTTTTAATTGGTTAACTAATAAATGGTCAAAGGTCCCATTCAACTATTAAGATATTAATATATCTTATATTAATGTAAATATAACACTCACAGAGCTCTTCTGCAGGTAGTCAGAGCTGGGATCAGTTTCTTATAACCCTCCTCTGATGTGTTGTACTTCTTCAGGTCCAGCTCATCCAACTCCTCCTCTGAGATCAGAAGCATATAGGCTAGTGCTGAACACTGTCCAGGAGAGAGAGACTCTTCTGAGTGTCTCTCTGATTGTAGATACTCCTGAATCTCTTTGGAGAGAGACTTGTAAGACATTTCAGATAGACAGAGGAACAGATTGATGGACCTCTCAGTTGAGATGCCATATGGTTTATCATAACCATCTTTTCTGATTAAGAACTTGATGTACTCTCTGGTTCTCTCTGATCTGCTCTGTGTTGGGGTCAGTAGACCCTGTAGGAGTCTCTGATTGGACTCCAGTGAGATGCCCATCAGGAAACGGAGGAAAAGATCCAGGTGTCCATTCTGACTCACTACAGCTTTATTCACTGCTCCCTTCAGCACCTCATCCAGAGGAACATCCTCAGACCACTCACTGAACAGTGAGGGATAAAACCTCAGTAAGACTTTCTCAGACCACTCTCTGTACAGTGGTTTAAAAATCTGCAGTTCCTCCATGTTCTTGATCTCAAAGCAGTGAAACACATAAAGAGCAGCCAGGAACTCCTGAAAGCTCAGATGAACAAAGCAGTAGACCTTCCTCTGGTAAAGCACACATTCCTCCCTAAAGATCTCAGTGAAAATCCCAGAGTACACTGAGGCCTCAGTGACATCAATGCTGCTCTCTCTCAGGTCCTCTTCATAGAACATCACATTGCCCTTCATCAGCTGTTTGAAAGCCAGTTCAGCCAGTTTCAGTATAATGATTCTGTTGGACTCCAGCATGTTCTTTGGGTCACTCTCATCTTCCTCCTTATACTTCTCATTCTTCATGTTGGTCTGAGTGAGCAGAAAGTGTGAGTACATTGCAGTCAGAGTTTTAGGGATTTCTGTATGAGGCTGTTTCATGATTTGCTGAAGAACAGTGGCTGAGATCCAGCAGAAGACTGGAATGTGGCACATGATGTGGAGGCTCCTCACTGTCTTAATGTGGGAGATGATTCTCTGGACTTGGTCTTCATCACTGATCCTCTTCCTGAAGTACTCCTCCTTCTGTGGGTCACTGAATCCCTGAATTTCTGTCACACGGTTGATGTATTGAGGAGGGATCTGATTGGCTGCTGCTGGTCGGGAGGTTATCCAGATCAGAGCAGAGGGAAGCAGCTCTCCTTTGATGAGGTTTGTCATCAACACACCCACTGATGATGTCACGGTGATGTCAGATACTTTCTCACACTCTTCAAAGTTCAGTGGAATTCTGCTTTCATCCAGACCATCAAATATAAACACAGCTTTGATCTGATCATAAATCGTTGGGTCCAGATCTTTGAGCTCAGGATGGAAGTCACACAGAAGTCCATGAAGACTGTATTGATCATCTTTAATCAGGTTCAGCTCCCGGAACGGAAGCACAAACATGAGCTCTACATCCTGATTGGCTTTTCCTTCAGCCCAGTCCAGAATGAACTTCTGCACAGAGACAGTTTTTCCAATTCCAGCGATGCCTTTAGTCAGAGCAGCTCTGAGCTCTGGCTCTTCTGGTCTGTTATCTTCTCTTTCTCTGTATCTGAGTCTGTCAGCCTCCACAGCTCTAATGTTCTCTTCTCGTGTTTCTCCTTCAGGACCTTGTAGAGGTTTAAAGATGTCTAAGCAGTTGATTGGAGAGTCTTGTAAGCGTCCTCTGGTTGTTTTTTCCATCTGTAGAACCTCATGTTCTTCATTCACTCCTTCACTCTCTCCCTCTATGATGTAGAGCTGTGTGTAAATCCTGTTCAGGAGGGTTTTATTCTCTTCTGTTCTGATTCCCTCAAATAAGCTCTCGTACTTGTTCTTCATGCTGTTTTTGTGTCTCTCTAAGACTCTGTGAAGGACATCATCCACTGTGGAGCTCTGGCTAATGGGGGTCAAACACAACAACAAATATCAATAATACAAATACCTATACATAACTATACACTCAAATGCATTACATTTGGGCTTTTTAATTTAGTGTATAGTTCTTTTCATTTACCTCAGGTTCCCAAGATGAATTTACTGTTACATGAGTTGCACTTTTGATTTCTCCATTAACTAATAAGAAAAAAATATTTCTAGACAACTGTAGTAGCATTCAAATATTGTACATGGATATACATGTTTAAAATGTTAATAAACATGCATTGTTTTCTTTATACTTCCAGAAAAATCACATACTTTTCATTCACATCTTTTCCATGTTAACACCTATTATTTCTTATTAGTACCTGCAGCATCATTTGAGTATTATGTGGTAACATGACAAAATGTCATTGCACATAATGTTCATGCCCTAAATTGCATGTAAGCACATGATTTTAATAGGAGATCTGTGTAATTATATGAGTGTTATGTGATTACAGGTGATAACCTGTACTTTACTGGCTGCCTGTTACTACCAGGAGTCTGAGAAAGAGGACAAACCAAGTTCTAAATAAAGTTAATGTTTTCATGTTCTATTGTGAATAAAACATGGTCTATGATATTTGCAGATCATTGCATTCTGTTTTTATTTACATTTATTTACATTTTACACAACCTCCCAACTTTTTTGGAATTGGGGCTGTAATTGCTTTTGTAATAAAAACATTTGTAACAGCTGTAGCACATGAAGGGCAAAGGCAAGGAAGTTTGGGCCCTCTGAAAACTTTATACACAGGGTTCTTGCCTCACCTCATTTCCTTTAACAGAACCCGTCACAGCACCTTTCATAATTCTACTCTTTACTTTGTTGTGGGTCTAATTAGATATAATTCCATTTTTTTTACTTAGCATGCAGCAAGCTGTGAATGTAAATATAAGTAACATGATTGCAGATCAATACACTGTATGCAGCTGCTTCTTTGAAATTTGAAACTGTATATTGGCTGTTTTTGACTAGTATAGGACTGATGCATTATTGAAAGTCCACTGGATTCTCCAAAAACACATTTGTTGCTATAGATGATGAAATTTAGTGGAATATTCTGAGATATTCTGTTTTTAATGTGTACTTTATCCAGGCTGAAAGACAAAGGGGGGGGGGTGCATGACATTAGCACACAGAGTGGACACTAGACAACTTTCTACTATACCTTTGCTGTCCCAACTGTTTACATTTACATTGAGAGAACAGCACAGGTTAACACTAAATGTACTACTGATTTATGAGAGAAACACTCTAAAACACTGAGTAAATGTCTACAGTATATACTCTGCTGTTTCACTCATTGTGTGTCACTTACTGAATGTTCAGGGATGGACCATCACTTTTTACAGACAACCAGCTCTAGACAACTAGACACTGGAGCAATAGCTCTTGGGTTTCTGTCCTGCTGAACTCTAACCTTTACAAACTGACCTATAATGTATATATAATCCAGAGATCAGGAACATATTTAAAATGCAAAACTGTTGTTTACTGGTATCAGTTATTTACCCTGAGTCAGAGGTTCCTCTCCCTCCACTGGACTGTGCTGACTTCAACATGGACTGGTCACTCTTCATAGAGACAAAGCTGGGTTCTCCTCCTCGCTTGAAATGAGGAAAGTCTCCTATGGACTGGTCACTCTTCATAGACGCACAGCTGGGTTCTCCTCCTCTCTTGAAATGAGGAAAGTCTCCTATGGACTGGTCACTCTTCATAGACACACAGCTGGGTTCTCCTCCTCTCTTGAAATTAGGAACGTCTCCTATGGACCGGTCACTCTTCACAGACACACAGCTGGGTTCTCCTCCTCTCTTGAAATTAGGAACGTCTCCTATGGACCGGTCACTCTTCACAGACACACAGCTGTGTTCTCCTCCTCTCTTGAAATGACGAAAGTCTCCTATGGACTGGTCACTCATCATAGACACACAGCTGTGTTCTCCTCTCTTGAAATGAGGAAAGTCTCCTATGGACTGGTCACTCTTCACAGACACACAGCTGTGTTCTCCTCCTCTCTGGAAATGAGGAAAGTCTCCTATGGACTGGTCACTCTTCATAGACACACAGCTGTGTTCTCCTCCTCTCTTGAAATTAGGAAAGTCTCCTATGAACTGGTCACTCTTCTCAGACACACAGCTGGACACTGGAGATCCTCCATGCTTCACTCTGAAAAATGTTCAACCACATTTAAATGCTGAATAATTTTGTTCTTTACTGAGACTCATTTAGTCTGAGTATAACTCATAATTCCCTCTTTACTGTTAATCAGCTAAGAGCTGATATGAAAGTTACTCACTTTGAATCAGAGGTTCTTCCTCCACTGCTGGAGTGATGAAGCTCCATCACTGAGGTTTTACTCTCCACACACACAGCTTTTTGTGTTGGTATATTAGAGTATCTCAAATGAGCTCACACTTCCAAGTTTTCCGTTTTGTTGGAGTCTTGATTGGCTGGTTGAGTTGTAGCTGAATGTCCTCTAAAGCCAGACAGACACTGTGAGATTTAGAGATCTTGTTCTTTGGTGACTCTCACTGTACATTTGAATAGACCATCGTGTTCATACAAAGCTATGATTTATAAACTCGCACTGTACGAAATGCTCCGTCTGACTGACCTGCTACGGGAAACGCAGCCTCTACAGACGCTCTGTCTACAGACCGTTATCAATAAAGCTGATTCACTCAGAATAACCGAGTACTGAGCAACATGCTGAGACACTGAGCAGCGCTGCTAACACTGAGCACTGAAGATAAAGCAGGCGCTAATGATCATGGCAGGACAGTTTGGTCTCTCTACAGCCTGATTTACTGTTACTTTGAGTGTTCTACTCAGTCAGACAAAGTAAAGTCGCATTGGTAGGAAATGTTGACTTTTTAGCCTCCATGTTGTTAGCCTACGTGCGTCCACCTGCACTGGGGAAGCGGTTGTATTTGTGTGTTTAAAAACGGGCTAAAATCACGCAGTGTATTCCTGGTGGGAATCTGCCAAGGCAGAATGTTTAAAGTGACCAATGACTTTGTGTCCCACCTCCACAGAGTCAGTAATACTTCTCTGTGTGAGCAGAGCCTCCTTCACTGCCAGCCTGAGTCATTTGTTCCCTAGCATAGCAGCTCTGCTTATGTCTGCTGGTATTGGAATGCTGGTGTTGATTTTTACAAGTATGAATACATGAGCATGGTATCGGCCCAATACCCAATACCAGTATTGATATCGATGCATCCCTAATCATAATAATCATTATCAGTAATGTTGCTGAGGTCTGATGTTATCTAGATGAAAGGAGTTCCAGGTGTGTAACCGAAGCTCCTCTCTCCATGTTCTGTAGAACCACAGTTCTGCACAGGTTACTCTGCTCTACCTGCAGAGGTTAATCAGGTGAGGCTGGAAGTGAGGAACACCTCACTGCACCATACATACTGTAAACTCTCTCTACCTCAGTAGAACCGTCCTCCTCTCTGGACCTTCATGGTGGATCACCGACTCTTCATGGACTCATAGCTGAGATCAGGTGAGTCTCTCTGAATCAGACTGAAACAGAACAATGGAGGAAAATTATATGTGTATTATAAGTATATTATATGGAAGAAAGTCATACATGCAAAAAGGACACATAAAACACACTGACTTTAAATTATATATACAGTAAGATCTGAGAGTTTATTATGATAAACATTAATGAAAAATCCTGTTTAGAAATAAAATAATAATATATTACTATTCTACATATAAATTGATGCGTGTCAGCACAAGAGTGTTTCCTTCTTTTCTTTCCTCTGCCTGTTCGCTCTCTCTTTTTTGTCTCTCTCTACAGGTGGAGCAGGCTGTCAATCATTTC